GAGTGAGGGAGAGGAGGGAGGGGGGAGGGATAATCTTCAGGAGCAGGCTTTTACAACAAATGGAGCCACTGCTCCAAAGGAAGTCACTCTATGATAGCTGAATGGTTGATGAACATCTCTGAATTTTTTAAGCGTGTTTCTTGGACAACATTTTTTTTCCCCTGGCTTCAGCATTCTAAACTGGTGCTTGAGGGTTTTTCACTAAATGAGCCTTTGGTACTGTCAGTCTTAACCTTATCTATTTTGTACCCCCGTGGTTGTATTCTTCACATTTTAGAATACTTCTAGTGTGAAGATCTCTTTGAAACTTTCAGTATTTCTCAAAAAATCATTTTGACAGACTGCTATGCAAAACGTACGGATCGGATTAACGAGTAAATTTCCTCTTTGGAAAGTGGTGGCACAGATTTCTCCTCGTTATATGGATACGATAGTAAAACACGACGTACGGAAAGGGTTAAGTGGTGGCACAGAGTTCCTCTCGTTGTATGGATGTGATAGTAAAACACGCTGTACAGATAGGGTTAAGTGGTGGCACAGAGTTCCCCACGTTGTATGGAGTGAAACATGACGTACAGATAGGGTTAAGAAAAACAAACAGTTGGCTGAGAAGATTGTGTGTTTACCCCCAGGTGGAAGTGACCAAGTTTGACGCACTGGAAGAGACGCACGCCGAGCTGAAGCTGAAAGACATGTTGTGGAACGCCATTGATGAGTGGGATGTGTTGCTGGGGGACTGGACTACGGTCAGTTTGTGTGTGTGTGTGTGTGTGTCTGTGTGTGTGTGTGTCTCTGTGTGTGTTTGTGTGTGTGTGTGATCTCTAAATGCTATTGTTGTCTTAGTCTACGTGTGTGTGTGTGTCTGCATGTGTGTGTGTGTGTGTGTGTGTGTGTGTGTGTGTGTGTGTGTGTATGATCTCTAAATATTATAGTTGTCTTTGTCTATGTGTGTGTGTGTACGTGGAGAACAGACATTTGTATATCATGGCCCCGCAGTCTTGGATGTTTGCCCCAATAGTTTGAGAGAGATCAAGTCTTTGAATTCATTCAAATGTCAGCGGAAGTCATTCCTGTTTTTGACAAATAAGAGATAGATTAATAGATTTTTGGTCAGAAGGCAATGTGCTGTTTATATGTAACTGTTGTTTTGTACAGTGCTCAGAGCCTGTGTTCTTTAATCGGGGTTGATCACGAGATAAATGCCATGTAATATTATCATTATTATTGATATTATTATTATTATTATCATCATAATCATTATGATTATAATTATCATTATTATTATTATTATTATAGCTATTATT